ACATTTTGAACAAGAGAAACAGTAGGGACACCCACATAATGGCTCTGTATATTTATGTTTAAAGCAATCAATAATTGTTTGCAAGTAATTACACAGCATAATCTGTAAATAAGGTAAGAATGAAGACATACATTTGAATTATGGATTCATCTAATATTTTCAAATTAGGAGACAGACTATGGATTGTCCTGAGACATCTAGTTTTGGTAAGTTATCATAGCAATCCTCAGTATCTCTGACTTTGTGTAGTGTATTTGTTGTGAATTTCAAAGGAAGAGTAAGAATTGCTGAATTGCCAAACTATGATACTGATGAAGTTGAGTCTTCAGTTTTCTATAGAAATCAGTGGCACACAACCACAGTTCAAGCTACCTCATTCAGTTGTCTTGAAAATACCTGAGTATCATAACTGGTCTGCATCTGAGCATGTGTTTCTCTGTAGACACAAGAAGGATGGAGTGTCCTTCTCAGTCCACCATGCAAAATGAATATTGAAAAATTTAAAGATTCAGCCACAGAGTATTGTTGTTGCTGTTAAAGAGCCTGTCTTGAAATAGTTGTACAGGGCTAAAAGCTTTTGTTTGTATTGCTTTAAAAATGAACAGTACTGAGGACTGCAAACATACTAATTATTTTAAGCAAACAATGCATTTAAATGTGGACACAACTTTCAGAAAAAAGACGTGTCCTCTATCAGCAAAAGGAATTTATGTAGAATAATAATTACTGTTTTCAGTGGATATACTGGCTTGAGACTTTTTACTAACCCTGTATATTCTCTGAACACTATAGTTACCTCATGAAGTAGACGGTTTGGCTTATGTTTTACAGATGAACAAACTGAGGCTTAAGTCACATATGCAAGGCTCCAGGGCTTTCTCAATATTAAGGACTTGACTATCAATATATAATGCTGGTGCAAACTGGCCATGCATTATTAAATTTTGCATTTTGTTTGTAGAAGGGCAGGAAAGATGTGATCATTTTCTTGCCTGGTATTTACAGAGTATAGATATGTGGTGGGAAAAGTTGAAAACTATTTTAAATAGTTCTCATGTATTTAATGGTTCAAATTACAGTGGCCCGGCTAATGTGTGGTCTTCTAGTATCTTCCTCCTTTCTTCATTTGTTTGTAATCTATGTAGTCAAGAAGATAACAACTTTCCATATATGTCACAAAGTTGTATAAATATTTATTGTTCTAAAAGAATGTAACATTTGCAACAGTCAGGGTAAATCCTGAGGAGATTCAACTAACCTTGTCAGATACAGAAGTTACATTTCTTGTTGTGCAGGTCTTGCTTTATCTTGGTCTTAACCATCCAGCAGAAGAGTATAAAAACTAGGTATAAAAAGTAAAGCCATATTAATATGCTGAGCTGTAAAAAGCTCAAGTCAACAACTTCTGACATTGCCAATCCTATGGATAACCCACTGCTATTATGGACTACTGGACTATATTGGATTATTTTGCTGAATTCACACACCTACAATATTTAAATGACAATGGAATACCCATCTCTGACAAAACTAAACAAAAAGGGGATACAAATAAATGACCATTTTGTATCTGTATATACAAAATAGGATACATATACAGCTACTTTCTCTTAATTCAGTGAGAAGAAAGATTTTTACTAATAGTGTTTGGACAGGATATCATGTCTGCATCTTGTACTATGAATAACCAATACAAAGACAACAATATGCAATGTATTAATTATTGTAACTGTCCTACTAACCTGTTTTGAAACTGTCTCATTTTTATTTGTTTCTCAATAAAATTAATTTAAAAAAATAAAATAAAGCAGGGAGTCCAGTTTTCTGCTCTGAGACGATCTTTGTAGTGACACTGCCAGGGTTTCCAAAAGCCTGAAAAGGGGCCATTCATGCAGACTTCAAGAGAAGGAGAAAAGACAGGCAGTGTGATGCACTTCAGGGCATACAAAGAAATCTCTTTGAATTCAAACTGCCCAAAGTCATGTTGCAATTGTGACCACAGAAGGCGCAGTATTTGGAGGCACCCTTATACCATGAGTAAAGTCCAGGCTACCTGCTGTGTGTCTCACTTAGAGAGAGCAGTAGCTTGCAATACACAGGCAGGATACTCAGCTTTTTGTCCACTACTGCATCTCAGTGGGGACATTTTTCACAGCTTGTAAACACTACCAAAAGTCAAGAAAAATACTGTTTTCCTTTTTTTTGTACAACTAAGGCAGGTAGTTATAAACACAAGAAGTGACTGCACTAATATATTTGCTGTCAACCCCTACGATCCCTTCAGTCCAACTCCTTTCCAACTCACCCAACCCCTGTAGTGCTATTTCCATTTTCCACCTACCATGGCTTGTAAATTAATTTATTTTCAGCAAATATTTATTGAATGTCATCTTTGACTCTTCTCTTGCAGTGGCCTACATATGTGATGAATGGCCAAGCCAGTCACTGCAGAACCTTTAAAAAGTGGAATTAGCTGTACGCACTTTATAGTTAGATAACCTCTAGTTGCCAAGACCTGTCTAATAGTCTCAGCCAAGTATGCCGAAAATATTCTTTTCTTTCAATTTCTATGGCATCACTGTACTGCATAAAACACTGTAATTAAGGAAAATTATTGTTCTTAGAAAATATTTTCTTATGTTTTTCTCAATAAATTATTCTGCTTGCCCCATTTAGCATTTGCCTGTGCTGATCTCCTCCCATTTCCTTGAGTTCAATCCAACCTAGCACTTGAGCTTGCATTAAGACATTGATTCTACAGGAAAGGTCATTGTTCCCTTTTCAGAGTGTGGATATTTTCTTTTTTTTTTTTCTTTTCTTTCTTTCTTTCTTTCTTTCTTTCTTTCTTTCTTTTTTTTTTTTTTTTTTTTTTTTGTGGAACCAGGGATTGAACTCAGGTCCTTGTGCTTGCCAGGGAAGCACTTACTCCACTGAGCCATCTCCCCGGCCTTTATTTGTATTTATATATGATGCCCTTGTTTTTCTGTATGTAATGGAAAAAAATTCTTTTTTAAAAAATTCTGCTTCTCTCAGGCAATGGCCTTACTATGGATTTGTAAAATTCATAGAGGCAGAGATTATAGCTACGTTATTGAATGTTTTCAACTCATGCTTTCAATTCAAAAATTCTTTATTAACACATAAAAATGAATTGCCCTGATCAAGTTAAATTTTATAATAGATTATAACATTTCCAGAAATGTTTATAAAAAGGTGCACTGGCTATTTATTGTTTGGCTTTTAATCCTGTTTTGTTTCCCCCTGGGAACAATGGCACAAATGTTTTCGTGGGGAAGTCCCAGTTCCTTCAGATTGTCTCTTTTGGGTGCAAGCTCATTCCTATTGCTTCAGGTTCAGGGGTAGAAGATAATACAAAAGCCTTCTATATAGGGCCTTTAGATTCCTTTTGCCTTAATGAGCAGTTTAGGGTTGAGCACTTGATCAACTGAGAGCCAACAGGACTCATCAGGGATTGGTAAGAGGCTGCAAAGACAAGTAGTTTTTCCTTACCACGAGAACAGAGACTGGAAGATGAAAAACTTAGTGGCTCCAGTCATTGTCTACCATGCCAAGAAATTCAGCTACAATCATAAATAACAAAACAGAGGGCTACCTGGAGTTATGGTGAAGTGTAGGAGCTATTGTTTCCATCATATCTGAAGTCACACTTGTGACTCTGTGCTTCAGTTATATCAGCTAATAAATACATCTCTGTATACCTCAGGGTGGCCTAAGCCTATATATTAATTATCATCTATTGCATCAATTAGAAGCCATAATAGAATACAAGCAGAAAAATGTTTAAGCTAGTGAATTATATATTAAAAATAATTGGAAGACCTAAAGATCTAGGCCTCGAGGATAGATTTCTTAGACCTTGTAGAATTATCCTGCCAGGCAAGCTACATGTATCCATGGCTACAACAGAAAGTATGGAGTGAGGAGAATCTCTCTTAAGAACACAAAACACTACTATAATGTGGGAGTAGAAATCAGGATCAGTAAATTCCTTACTCCAGAATCTTTTGAAATTGTCAAACATGGAGACCGCACCCTGGAGTAGTCTCCCACAAATGCCTGCTAACACCACAAAACTAGTGGTGACAATGAAATATTGATGTAGAAAAATTCTCCTTTGTGCCATGGCCAGGAAAAATAACAAATGTTACTAACACTTGGGATTTTTTTCCTCCTTCCTATTTATTCCTTCAATATTTTCTCAGTGCCTATAAATAGAAAAATTTCTCTCCCTCCCTCCCTCCCTCCCTTCCTTCTCACCTTCTCTTTCTTTCATATGTTCATTCTTTTGTTTCTTTCTCCTGCATAGAAGCCAAGCTCATTGAAGTTTAGTTTTCCCATTAAAGGACATGCTATAGCACCAGCCAGATAGCTCAGGGGAGTAAAGTGAATGCTTAGGCAGGCGCAGGGACCAGGTTTGATCCCCCGGCATGCCATGCTGACCTGGCCCCGGGGCGCGCTGAAATGGCGACTGAGACTGGGCATGGTGGAGCTCCTGTAATCCCAGCACTTAGGAGACTGAAAACCGGAGAATCACTACGAGTCCAACCTGTAGTGAGACCCTGTAGAACCTGTACTAATATATTTAAAAAATGCTATAGGAGGGATAATAGAGACTAATGTCAATTATTCCAGAGTATGAGGACGATTTCATTCATTTTTTAATCAAAATAATTTTAACGAATTCAGAAAGTTATGGCTAACTTACATGAATTTCTAAGTGATGGCATCTCAAATAATGTAGCCTCGTGCAAAGATTTCTGAAAAAATTCAGGAACTATCTGGGGCGAATTACCTAAAATGCAATAACCGGCTTATCATAAACCTTGTATAAATATTTGCTATGATTTTACAATGAATGATGACTCTCTTTTTTAAAAAATGGCATGTCATTTTCTTTTGGGTATAAATTCATATGTTTACAAAGCTCCACGAAATATCCTAACAAAAGAAAGGTGCTGAGCCATCTCCTGCCTGGCACCATGGCGGCCCTCAGACTCCTTGTGAAGCCCAAGATCATCAAAAAGAGGACCAAGAAGCTCATCCAGCACCAGTCAGACAGATATGTCAAAATTAACCTCAACTGGCAGAAACCCAGAGGCATCGACAACAGGGTGCGGAGGAGGTTCAAGGGCCAGATCTTGATGCCCAGCATAGGTTATGGAAGTAAGAAAAAGACCAAGCACATGCTGCCCAGCGGCTTCCGGAAGTTCTTGGCGCACAGTGTTAAAGAGCTGGAGGGGCTGCTGATGTACAACAGGTCTTACTGCGCAGAGCTTGTTCACAACTTCTCCTCTAAGAACCGCAAGGCCATTGTGGAAAGAGCAGCCCAACTAGCCATCCGAGTCACCGATCCCACTGCAGGCTGCGCAGAGAAGAAAACAAGTAGACGGCCTGTATACATGTTCATTTGTGCTTCAGTAAAACCACATTAAAAAAAAAAAAAAAAAGAAGAAAGAAAAGTGCCATTCAAGTTAAACATTATCTTTTTTAATGGGCAAGTCAAATAGGTCAGTGGATTAAAGCGCCTGCAAGCAAGAGCCCGGACCAGGGGTTCAATCCCCGGGCCTGCCTTGCTGGCCCTACCCCCGGGGATGAACTGAGATGGCAATTGAGACTGGGCATGGTGGCGCGCTCCTGTAATCCCAGCTCTTGGGAGGCTGTAAACAGGTGGATCACTATGAGTCCGATCTAGTAGTGAGACCATGAGCACCTTGTAGACCTTCCCTAAAATAAAAAAAAATTATATATGTATATAACATAAATCTACACCACTAGTGTTATAACTTTTCTTATACTACCCTTATGATTGTTGCTGCACTTTCAATTTTATTAGGTTGACCATGTCCTATAACACGTGCAAAACTAAGTGCAATAACATTTTTTTATTGAAGTTGTTTTTTAGTACAAACACAATAGCTGCTACATATATTTTGCTCATATAAAATACTCATACAGAAGAGAAGACCACACAAGAGAGATTTCAAGACATTCAAGTCAATAAAAATCCATTTTCTAAAATATACACATCACATAGATCTCATTAATCTATAGTAGGGCAGAATATGGATTAATATAAGAGTTCCTCTGTAGTGTTCTGTGTAACTGGATGAGTTAGTTTTTGAAGGTATTGAGAAAATTTGAATGGAAGCTGAATATTGCTCCCTTGCCTCTTGCACTTTTGCAGACGTAGGATGACACTGCATAGAGATAAATTACCCAACATATACTCAAAAATTTTGTAGGTCCTGCATTGACAAATATTTTCATCAATTGTGAACATTCTTTGAGATTTAAGAATGAGTGTATTGCTTGTGGCTGAACTATTTCTGCTAAAGCTTGAACCTACAGCTCCCATTAGCAAAGAAAAAATTAGTTGAATGTATCGAATTAGACAAATGTGTAATAATGTGCCATTTATGGCTTGTTCATGTTTTTCCTGATGAAATAAACTGACATGTGGGTGAGATATAGAAAACTTATGTGAAAATGAATATGGAAATGAAAGCTTCCAAATAAAACTTGATACTCTGGGATAGTTCCTTAGTGAAATCTTAGAACTGTAATTACATCTAGCAATGAGAAACTGTTTATGCCATTCTCCCTGAAAATATATCCTGCTATAACTATAATATGTTTAGTTTCTTATTCTTATGTTTTATAGTATTAGAATATCATAAAATGAAAATGTAAACCACTTCTGTCATTTATAATCATGTTTGATTAGCAAATAGACATGATCTGATCTGACACTTCAACTTGAAATTGTCTTGCGCTGTTCAATGTTTTACTTTGCAAAGTGGAAAAGACCATTTTATTTGTTAGAGCCTTTAGAATGGAAAATGAAACAAGTAGATCCATGAAACATGCATAAATCTGAAATTCACACTTGATAAATAGCATGTCAGAATCTGTGGAAATGAAATTTGTAAGCAAGAGTTTGCCTGGAGATTCTGAAAATCCTACTATGGTACCATTCAGATTAATGAGGTTAATGATTTCTCTCTCCTAGAAGTTAATTTGTGGATCAGAATAGTGATTTTCATTGGTGGAGGAGGCTATGTTTAACCCAGGTTCACAACATATTCAAAAGGTGTATTTCATTTTGTCTTTCAAAATCATGATGAGCATCATCATGCAGATTCTTACATATACCCTGGATTGCTTGAGCTATGTAGAAGAAATGCTGTAAATTTAATAACAATATTGGCTAACACATTTTAATTTACATCATAGAGCAAACAATTAAACTACAAAAGATATTTAGAGTTTCAAATATCCTGTAAAGAGATTCGTTTGTTCATACGCAAATTCTAAACCAGTTGCAAAGTATGACCAAAGGGAAAGGCAAATAGAAGACAAAAATATCTGCTTTGATATTGATATTGCTTTCAGCTACCAATGTGGATTATATCTGAAGATAAATCACCTTCTTGACATTGAAGCACAATATTAGGAGGAATCCAGCAGTCAAAATCTTCTACAGGACAGCATTTTCATGACCAAGTAAACTGTTCAACTACTGCAATGCAGAGCAATCTTCCACGGATAATCCTTCTCTTGAAAGAAAGAGCAAAGACTGTTCTGGGAGAACCATTTTGCACTACAAGTGCTTTGGTCTGAACAAGAATTGTTATATGAGTGGGAATGAATGAGGAGTGGAGAGACCAGAAATACAGAGTAAGTAGAGTTTGATTCCCAGATACCCAAATCTTACCAGAGATGGCCTAAAGTGGTTCTGCGCAAATCAAAAAAAAAAAAAAAAAAAATCACAACTAAAATTTTATACCAAAATCTAAATACTCATTTGTTGTGAAACTAGTTAGCATACAAATAGATGTGTCTCCATGGCTTATTCTCACTTAAAACAAGCTTTCAATCCAAAACCCAAGTCATTCACTGGCTAGCTATATATTAGGTGCTGGTAACTCCCATGTTTGTGCTTTTAGACCGTTTCTTCTCTAGGACCAAGAAAGATTAAATGCAGACTGATGCTGTGAGATATTAACTGTCAAAATCAAAATATATGCATCATGAAATTGAGATAAGGGGAATGAAACACACAAACTGAAAGGAACCTGGAACTAGTTCATGTTCTCTAAAACCGAAGAATGAAATTTAGGAACAAATGGAGGTTAAGAGCAGAATATTTATTGGGAAAAGAAAGCTTCTGTCTGAGAGAGGGACAGAAGGAGGAACCAAGAGGGTGACCCCAGGGAAGCTGACATTCCCAGGGATTTTTATAGAGTAAAACCATGTGCATCTAAGTTGGAAAAAATGAGAAACTGCTTAGGTGGGCATGAAGTGGGATGAAACTATGGTCAACCAATGAGATTGCAAGCACCATTGCTCAGGTAAAATTATTAAATCAATCAAAGGACCCAATGGGGAATTGAGTCATGTAGCAAGTGAGTATGAATACAAAACAGGAGTTTATCCAGTAGCCAGTAGTGGTTGGATTAGTGATTTTTTTCCTGGCTTCCTTCAGGTGATGATCAATCCTGTATGCTTATCTTTAGGGAGGTAAGCATGTGTTAGATCTTTGGTCTTTTTCGCCCACAGCAGGAACATCCATCTCTCTCCCAGTTGTATGGTGTCTTGTCTTCCACGCTATCTCCTTTGAGGGCCTGACCCTGGCTGACTGCTTATAATACTTCTGTCTACTTCAGCTGCCTACAACAAGCTTTCGAGGGATGAGCTTGACTGGCCAAGTCTGGAAGGCCTTCTAAGAGTGCAGCATTAAGGCTGAGACCTGCAAGACATATTAGGACAAGTTAGGGAAAAGTGTTATCTGAAGAAGCACCTGATATTCAGAGACAAAAATGTGTGACAGGTTGAGAAGCTGAGGAACCTCAAGCAGTGGGATTGTAAATTGATATTAATAAAAATAGCAATAATTCCAAATGTAGTCTGTGATAGGAGGTGTGGTAAGAGTTTTGTGTGTGGATGGTTTATTTCTGCCCTAGCACCACTAAGAATTGCTTCATGCAATCATCCCCACTTTACTCTGGGAAACTTATGGCAGGTGGAAGTGAGCCAGGGATGTAGTCCTGTGTAATTTCCCTCCAGAGCTTGTGCTGCAGCCCCTAGCCGAATTCATCTCTGAAGTGCAAAGCAATAAGAGTTGAAGGCACTATTTTCTAACATGACTTGGCGGCAGGCCCACTGCATTCCTTGGTTCTGCACCCGTGAATTCATCCAGAGGCGAAGCAAACATCAAACATATTCAGAAAAAAATTTACGTACATGCTGAACATGTACAGACCTTTCTTTAAAATCTTATGATTTTGTGACAGGGTCTCACCACACAGCTTGAACTCATAGTGATCCTATTGTTTCAGCCTCCCCAGCCCTGGGATTACAGGTGTGCACAACCATGCCTGGTCTTGGTGGCCAGCTCGGTGCTGAGCTATCTCTGAGGCTCCCTTTACAGAGCTCTTCTTGTCATTATTCCATAAACAATAAACCATGCAAACATTTCCATTGTAATTGGTATTAGAAATAATCTAGAAATGATCTAATATATTCAAGAGGATTTATATAGCTAATAAGCACAGGTTATAATAGGGACTGCAGTATACACAGATTTTGGCATTTGTAAAGGATCCTGGACAAAACCTTTTACAGTTTCCAAGAATGACAGTTTAATTTTGACCTGGCTATTCAAGTCCAGTGCATTTATTACAGATATTCATGCAAATGAGATTACCCGAGATCTTTAAGAAGGATGCCAAAATTGTAGATACGTTCTGTGTTCTAACTGTATATATGCTGATAGACTTTAATTATGAGAACTCTTTTATTTTTATTTTTATTTATTGAGAGAGAGAGAGAGAGAGAGAGAGAGAGAGAGAGAGAGAGAGAGAGTGGTGTGTGTGTGTGTGGCCAGCTCAGCCCACCAGGGGGCGGGGCTGGCTGGCATGTGGTGCTGGGGGATTGAACCGCAGTCCCTGATGCTTTTCCAAGCTTGTTCTAAGTAGGTGCCTTAGACCACTGAGCCATCTCTCCAGCCCCGTAATTATGAGAACTCTTGAATCACTTGATCAACCATATACTAAGGTACATCCTTAACTTATCAAATATTTATTGAGCATTTGCTATGGGTTTGGTATTGTTCTAGGTAATGATGTTACAGTGGTTAATGAAACAAAAATCTCTGCTTTTGTGGGGATCGCATTCTATCAATACAAGAGAATAAAAACACATAAATAAAACAGGTACAGTGTTAAATGACAAATAATATAGAAAAAGTGAAGAACAGTAGACTAGGAAAGGCTGCAGGAGAGAATTGGAAATGTGGTACAGGTAGCCTTCCTGGGAGGCTGTGAGGGCACTGGCCTCAGGCAGAGGAGGGAGGGAGCCACGTCACATGGCAGGCATTCCAGACAGCGGGAGGAGCGAGTGTGAGGTTCCTGTGTCAGATGCAAAGGCGAGGGCCTATGCTGGTTGGCTCAAGAAGCTGAAAAGACGGAATATATGTGCATCAATAATTGATTACCCAACAGCAGAAACTCCAGTATAATGCAACCTAATGAAAGGAGTCTCCAGCCTCCAGCTCTCTGGGTTTGGATCGCAGTTCTTCTCCCTTGTTTTAGGCTAGACCAATGACTTGCCCTTTCTGCATTATGATGTATTAACTATGAATAATAGTAAGAGCTATAATATTATGAATTAAGCAGTGCCTGTTGCATTATAAAAGCACAGGAAATGCTAGTTCTTTTTAGGGGAAAATTGTAATTGTATGGGATATTCAAAAAGGTAAGTAGTTTATTACTGTATTCTCAGAAATGCCTATTGAGACATGTTATTTTGAAATTAAGTATGGAAAACAATTCGTAGGCCCATTTAAGTAATGAAAAGTAGAGGACCCAAGGGCTAAATCATCACTCATTCAAAGTCATATTTTTGCTCCACATTGGGGGTGAAATGAAAACTCAGTCCTTCCCTCTCCTTTCCAAACTTCAGCTCTATTCCTTTCCAGTACCTATCTTCTTAGTGGATGCCGCTGCCTCCAAACTCCCTGCAGATGAGGAGAATCCTAAGCAAGCACGTAGAGTCTGGACAGTGGAAAGAATACGGGCACAGAGAGAGGAGAGGTAGACAGTTGAAGCCATGAGCAAAAGAATTAGTAGGCACAGAGCTCTGAGTGCTTCACTGTGCAGCAGAGAAGTAGGGTTACGGAGTAACAGCAAGTAGACTAATGCGAAGGAAAGGCTTTATATTTAGACATACAGGGAACTAGTCAGCAGCCATAGGCAAGTCGAGGCCAGATGGCAAGGAGCTTTAAATGTCAAGTGAAGGCATTTGAGCTTACTTTGGCATCAAGAAATCATTGACAGTTTTTAAGTGGAAGACTGATATTAAAAAAAAATGTGCATTTTCAGGAAGAAAATCTGATAGAATGGATAGGAAGTAGACAGAAATCAGAGAAGTACAGATCCATTTAGACAATATTAGGAATAATAACCCAAAGCAGAGCTAGAATACTCAGAGGTTCATATTTGGATAAATTAATTCAGCTAAGATTAAATTAATTTCAACACAGAAGTTTCCTATTTTGTTTTTAACATAAAGTTCTCTTATGTTTGGAAGTTCTGTTATTTCCAGGTGTCTAAAGTGGGGTGCATGCATGAAATAGAATCCTTTCTGGAACATTTTGCCTATGTGGTGTTGTATGTTTCAAATGGTGACAGTTTGAGTGTGATATGTCACATATGCTGCTTTGAAAACATATAAAAAATCAAATGCACGTCCTATGCAGTGCACATCTTAGAATAAGGTGGATTATTTTTCTGCTTAAATAGCTGCAGTTGAAACTCTGTGGAGTTTGAAATGCTCTTGCTTCTCCTCTCCTGGCTGCAGTCATAGTAACCCCAGGGAGGAACCCAAGCAGCTGGCCCTATAATTCCCAGGGTGCATCTAGCAAGACAAAGCTACTTTATAGAAAGGAGCAAACTGGTCCACTGGAAGCAAAGACCTGAACCAGTAAGGGCAGCTAGAATAACCAAAGGCATTATGACCCACGTCATCCAAGACTTACCTATATCCCTCTCATTTTTTTTTTCTCATTTGTCTTAGAACAAAAAAAACAAAGGAATCACATGTTTATGGCCAAGTTGTAGACTCATGAGCTATCTCTGATTATTTTTTGGCATCTCTTAGTACCAAATAATTGAATTGGACATTGTTTACAATGTTAATAGAGAAATAAATTATTTTATGGTGTTCAAGAAAAATACTTGTTAATTAGCTTGGAAAAATTGTCATTTTTAGGCCTACAGCCATTCCTTGTCAAATCGGAATCTCATTAATTTTCACCAGCTAAGTAAGTTCTCACCCTCTAGTGCAGTCAGGGAAAACTCAGAGGTTTGCTCAGGAAACTCTGTGGCTATGTAAGTTTCCTGTAACAATGGTGAAATCTGAATTACTGATGGACCAATGTGGCCCATCTCACAGGGAGATTCATACTAGTGACAATTCTCTGTGCTTATTATCCTAATATAATAACAGCATTTGATATGAGCTGACAATATTTTCTCTCTGATTTAAGTTTTTAAAGACATGAAATATGACTTGAATTGATGGCAAGAATTTTACACTTAAAAATAGGTCTTTTTTTTTTTTTCTTTGACAAATAACCCATGAAATTTCCACATCTCAGAAGCTACTCCGTTTGGAGACCAGATCGAAATCATAGGGCTGTAAGGAAGTCACCTGTATTCTTGTAGCCACATAACCCAGTGGCCAAATACCAGTTTCCTTAATTGTCTTCTGAGTAGCAGGCATTTTATTTACTTTTGGAGTACATTTCATTTGGAGGGCAGAGAATAAGAAAGCACTCTGCTCAAAACAAAAGGAGAGAGAAAGAGAGTGAAAATAAATAGAAAAAAGAATAGGTGCCCCAGAGAGATGAGGAAAGAACAGAGAAGGTGGGTAGGGGTGGAAATACTTAGTTTGTTAGTCTGGTTAGCCCTGAAAGTTTATCTGTTTTAGAGCTTCAATAGTCTAAAAGCCTTTTGCCTTGTCATGATTAGTGAAGAACACAGGAGCATGCAGTTTCAATTATTCTGAGCAGCAGCAGTCCCTCGGCCCATCCACAAGAGATAAGTCAGAACCAGTGGAAAATGGCAGGTTGGGATATTTACCTTTGTTTTGTGAATTATTTATTGACGAGGTGGAACACACGAGTTGTATGAAACTGGAGTATGCATTTCCAGTCCTCTTGGAAAATTCTGCACAGCCCATACAATTTTATATGCACAGTGTAAGACCTCATTGGAATTTCTTTTTCGAACTCTCCAAGTTATCAGTACATCACATCAAGATGCCCAAAAGAGATTTTCTGTGTAGGTCCAGTCCAGGCATTCATGGAGTGGGTCTGGTCAACAGAACTGTGCTCAGGACAACAGGCGGAGGACTTGCCCGGGCCAAGATAAATGCTTCAGAGAGCAAAAGAGGAAAGCAGCTCAATGGGTAGGGAAAATCAATGTGAGCAAATTGGCCCATTTTTGCCTCGCTGACTTGTACTGTCCATTAAGCCCTATTTGCTGGTTCATGGTTGTTCACTTCATTTACTTTCTAATCCTTTTTTTTTTTTTGCCAGCCTGGCGCACCTCCAGGTTAGTGCAATCCTGTTAATTGCCATCGCCTGCTACTGCCTAACTGTGACACGGGCCTTATCACCTCATTACAGGGATTGGACATGAAATTCTACACATGAAAGCCAGCGTGAGGTCTGCTCTGTGCAGGAGCGAGGCTTAAATCAGACATGATCTCACAGCTTCTTGGAAAGCGAGATTTTCCATGTCCTCAGACCTCCAAAGAAGCTGGGGTCTGCTTGAGCCTTTGACTTTTCTGCGTTCTCAGCACCACAGTAATCACACTGCGGGAGGAAGAGGGAAGATGGGAATGCTGTGTGCTGCACAGAAGTCTTGGAGGTTTTCTGCTTATATAAAATCCTGGGCCCTCAATGCTGGCTTCCAAGGCTATGTTGGTACATTTATTGAACTGTGTTGTGGTTGTCCAGCTCTTCCTTGCTCCCTTCCTTCCTTCCTTCCTTCCTTCCTTCCTTCCTTCCTTCCTTCCTTCCTTCCTTCCTT